CCCACCCGGACGGACCCAGCTTAAATTAATCCCTTTGTTTGAGTGGTTATCAGTCACTCCATCGCCTTAATTTTTCCAGCTGCGTGCCATCGAAACAGCAAAGCCTCTCTCGCTAGGCAGTTTTTGTATACACGTTAGAATAGATACAAAAACAAGTGAGCAAAATAAAAAAAATATTAATTGCAAAAATAGACGTGCTTTCTTACATAACACGATGGCTAAAATTGGAAATTTAACAAAACATCCTTATAATAGAGGGTGGTGAATTAGCTCTCGGGGCCAATGTCTTATGATAGCACCGCTGAGATGCATGGTTCAAATCCAGGTTTCAGCACCCCATGATTAAACTTGGTATTGAAGTAACTTGGCGATAAGTTCAATCATATCATCTTTCTGGGTCTCTCTCTGGCAATGTGCGGTGCAATGCAGTGGCTGCAAAAGTTTTCAATGTAAATGCCTTTATTTAGCGACGTGTCCGCCACCAGCTCATAGCTCAACTGGAATGATTAGTGAGTAAAAACGTAAATAAATGAAACATTCTAATTGTTCACAAAAAATATTGTTGGCTGTGATAATTACCTGTAGAGAAAAATACTGTACACCTAAAGTAACGGTATCGCTCGCATTGATTACTGTTTGTGGCAGTTTTTAAAACAACTACATTCTGGACTGGAAATGTGGACGATTTCAATTTTGTAAAATTACATTTTCATTCCATGCATCGTGCTTCAACGCATTTTTTGTCTTTTCCAAAAAGTTGTTTTGATACGTGCCAATATATATGCTGTCAGAATCGTTGTTCTGCATGCGTCGTACATGTACTGTGTAACAGTACACACGCATGCGTAGCATTTGTGTTGCGATACATGATTCAAGTGCTGTGAAAATTAACGGCTGCCAAAAAGTACGGCTCACGCGAGCATTGGCTCTTTGAAATGTTAAAGTGCCTCCCTAACGCAACGAGACTTCTTAGAATTTCACCATTAACTTTTGACATTCAAATTATTGGGTATTGTGGCCGACTCTAGAAATAGGCATGTTGATGAAGTATTACTCCATTTTCTACTCACATTGTAACATGTTATATAATGGCATTTGCTCAACATAGCCGTGCATTTTCTAAACAATTGCCATGATTTGTTGCTTTTGAAACTGTGGTATAGCCATGGATACCACAACTCGGCAGTGTGTGTTTTTAGCAATAATAATTTACAGTTCCGCTGTTGGATGAAGGCAATTTCAGCCATCAGGGTGAGCTTCCACCACACCATGCTGCACTGTGCCGGTTCGTTGTTTAATGGATGTACCCTGGACCGGTTCGGCTATCATTCGGCCCCCTGATGTTAGCCTTGATCGGGGCTCAAACTTTTAGCAGAGTGCAAGGACCACTGCCCTGCACCGCTGATAAATAATTGAGTGAATTACAAATTATCCACGTTTTTGTAATTACACTACGTGTTTGTAAACATATGTGCATTGCACAGTGATTGCCCTGTAGAGCATTTTAAGATGTTAAATATTAATTTCGATAATTGCAATGTATCGTATATTATTTAATGGACGGTTTCTAAAGGCAATTGCAGAAAGGGAAGACAACGCCTACATTGGCTTGAGTTATTAATGCTGCGATAAATTGTGCCAAAAACACGGGGAATTTGTACTCGCATACGCTGCGCAAAGAGGTCTAAAGTTGACTCCGATTCACCAGGTGAGACCCCAAGAGGCGAGGATGAGTCTCAGTTGCAAGCGTCACCTGGGGCATTAGTCTGCCTCTCGGGAGCGATGATTGCTATTCACAGTATATAGATCCAATTAAGTAATTTGAGGTTAGTTTCAAATTTGTAAAATGTGGACCCTGATGCCAGCACAAAGTGGCGAAATTATGTTAGTGGATCTTTAACTTCCACTGCGAAGTCGATTGCACGTGTTGTCGTGGTTATTACGTCCTAACCAGAGCAGCCCTCTGGATTTGAACCGCGAACTTCTGCAACGAGCGGCGAACGTGCTCCCGCTCGGCCGTGTCACCGCCAAATGAAGCGTGGAGAGGTGCACGTTCATACTGGTAGGAACCCACTGGTTCCACCAGCCCACAGGGGATTATTGTGTCCGTCCGTCGTGCATCCAAAAATGGGAGGGGTGGGGCTGGGTGGCGAGGGCAGGGTGGGGAGGGGCTGGGTGGGGAGGGGAGGGTGGGGCTGGGTGGGGAGGGGAGGGTGTGGAGGGGCTGGGTGGGGAGGGTGAGGCTGGGTGGGGGGTGGGAGGAGTGGGGCTGGGTGGGGAGGGGCTGGTCACCCCGTGGTGCCCTTATAAAACTCAACGTTTAACCTACTCACGCCGGCTTGTGCTCGCTCTCACTGTCGGGCATATTTGCGGAATACACCACGCCGCCGTTTACCCTGGCCATTGACCGAGCAACCCAACGTTCCTACCAGCTCCCTCCGCAGGAATGTGTTAATTACACTTCGAAAGAGGGACACATGGATCAGAGAACATGTGCAAGTTAGAGACATCATATTGACATTGGACAGGACATGTCGTCGCTAGAAGGGTTGGTGACTGGTGGTCGAGACTAACAATGGAGTGGCAGCCAAAGTAAGGAGTGTTCCTAAGATGACTACTGTCGCAAAGATGGAACGATGAGATACGCTCACCTTCAGGAGCTAGATGGATTGTTGCACCATGCGATCGTTAGAGATGGCGATGACTTGGTGGTGACTTCACCCAGCAGTGGATACATCATAATCGATGATGAAACAAATTTATTTTCTTCATACATGATGGTAATGATGACAATAATGATGCAATTGCCATGAATGTGAATTGCAAACTACCTGTGTTCCCTGTACTATAGAACGTACATATGCAGCCTGCAATGGTTATTTGAAGGACTTACTTTACACCATAAATAGATTTTACCAGCACTTCCAAAAGTGCCAAAGCTTCGTGCTGATTAATGACCACCTTTGAAGACATAAAAGGCTGACATTCTTGGTTCTTTTTATCTGCTCGAATGACACTGGGGAACACTTTATATCGTCACTAGTGAGTGGCAAATCTTATTTTGCTTTAATCTTGTGAGACACCCAGTGAGATGTTGCATTCAGAAATGAGATGAAAAAAAAACTTGCGAGGAAAGTTGTCGTAGTAAAATGTCCCTGACTATTTGCTTCGAAGATTTTTAATTTGTTTTAGCATTTACCTTTAAAAAAAGAGAGATGTGCTCATTTGATGTTTCAGCAGTTAATCTTAGAGTTAAATGATATTCAACACGGCACGTGATTTTGAGTGATGTTCAAGATGCATTTTACATCGTGAAAATAAATGCATTTGGGGTTTTGTAAGAATCCCGCTGTTTTAGAAGTGCACTGTACCTTGAGCAACTATCATCAAGATGAGGACGCAAATGTGACGTTGGTGGTTAACTATTAAAGTTTGAGTCCTCTGATGAGCCGTTTTTAAAGAGCGCCTGCAGTAAAATAAAACATGCGGATATTACCAATGGATAGGTGTTATATCAATACAGATTTTAAAACATGATAATGTATGCATAATAGTAAATGCAGCTCATTTAAAAAAAGGAAATGTATTATGACTGTAGAGATGTTGAATATTTCATCTTACCTTTTTTACATATATATTTTATAGATGTTTGAGGTTGTGATGGAGGTTTGACGTTTTGTTTTTTTATTAAATTCGGTTTTCTAAAAGTGCTGCCTTCTGCACATGACGTCCACCTCTGTTCTCCATATCATTTGCTGCTGGCCCGACTACCCCAGGTACACATGCTCCAATGTGTTTTCCAGTTGAATTCCCTTTGACAGATATCTTTAATTGTGTAGTGAACTTATGGGTCATTACTTTAAAAAAATATTTTCTGAATTAAAATGTTTTGATGGATGGTGCATTCAAACAATAAACATTCGGTCTGGCATTACAGGTCCTGCGTGGTGGGTCATGACTTTTGGATAAACCATATTTATCTTGTGCTCTACTTTGCATCCTCTTTGGTTTAGCTCTTCTACCATTTTCTGTAGTTCACTGTCCTTGGTCTTTACAATAAGTAGAAAATCATCAGCAAATTTTATTTATGCCCGTTTCTCATATCCAATTATTTGGGGCGGGGGGGGGGGTGAACCCATCATGGTGCTGGTTTAGAAGTGGCCTTCCATCCAGCGGTGGGTGGCTACAACTGTGTGATGGGTTATCGATGACCGCTTGCGAAAATATATTTGCCCAGTGGGCTACATATGGTGCAAAAGAAGTCCAACATACATACATATACCGTCAGTTTGAACTTTTTTAAATCCCTACTTAAAAAAAAACAAAGACCCCCACCCCATATATCCTTTTAACAGACTGTAGGGGCAAGTGCGATGAGCGGGCTGGAACGGTACACGAGGGGGTGGGTGGCCAGCACCACTCCCGACCGCCTTTGTCTCCCCAGTAACGATGCTTACACACCACACCAGATACTAATTTGATACCGAGTCGACCTAGGTGAGGCCCAAGACCGGTTCAGATAATTGTCACTGGTGTTGGCCGTGAGTGGGAATCAAACCCGGTTCAGATAATTGTCACTGGTGTTGGCCGTGAGTGGGAACCAAACCCGGTTCAGATAATTGTCACTGGTGTTGGCCGTGAGTGTGAATCAAACCCGGTTCAGATAATTGTCACTGGTGTTGGCCGTGAGTGGGAATCAAACCCGGTTCAGAAAATTGTCACCGGTGTTCGCCGTGAGTGGGAATCAAACCCGGTTCAGAAAATTGTCACTGGTGTTGGCCGTGAGTGGGAATCAACCCCGGGGCAGGCGAGTTCGTAGCGCAGCGCGCTAACCGCTCACGAATTGCACACAACACCTGCGACCATTACGGACAGAGCACATTCTCCACATGGACCGGTGGTGTGCACCGGAAATTGGTGTTCAGATCACAGCTGCTGGCGATGGGGCACGGATGACGACGCCCTGTGTGTGTGTGGTTTTTTTTTTGGGCGCGCGGCAGGTTCGGGATGGTCGCCTGTGGCCGATCGCCGCTGGCCACGGCGCTCCGGCTGGCGCTGTTCCTCGGCACTGCCACGGCGCTGCTGGCACTCAACCCCGAGGACCCCAACGTGTGCAGCCACTGGGAGAGGTGAGCTCCGCAGTTTGTTCGGTGGCTTTAATTAATTGAGTAGCATTTGATCTCCAACGTGGCTTTACGAGAAGGAAAGTTGCACGTTAAAATGCAATGTGTGCATGTGATGCGAAGTTATGATTTTTCAAAAATAATCTTGTTTAAATTTAATGTGATAGAGTTATTTTTGCTTATTCAGCAGGAGGTCACGGTTAGTTATGCAATCAGATGTTAAATTAAAGAGTCGGGCATGCAGCACCTTAGCTTGTGTGCCAGGGCATGAAATTAAATGTGGGCAGATCATGAACAAATACAAAATAATTCGTTTGATTGCAATTTTCTGACTTTATAAATATTTCACTACCTATTGATCCACACACATTCAGCAAGCATGGTTAATCAGGTACGGTGACTACCTTTTTATGGGAAATGATTTACAGCAAATCCATTGTTTATGGTCAAATAATGTTTCAGATGACGCTGCCCTGCATGCCAGGTAACATTTTACTTCGTTTTCCGGACATGCCACGTAGCCTCCCCAAATAACAGTCGTATCTTGTCTCCAGCTGCATAATGGACCTGCTTGTTGATTATTCCAAAGATGTTAAAATCCAGCTGTCACTGTTACAAATAAATTATTTTCGTTTCATCAGCATCAGCCATGATCTATTGACTGCTGGATGGAGAATTTCCCAAGCCGTGAATCATCAACCGGTCTAGCTTCTGAGCACAAACCGATATCATTGCGTTAAAAACATTGTGCCATAGACGTCTTCTTGGGCGTTTCCCACTTTGGTTGCCAATCTGCCATTAGTCTCGACCACCGGCTATTTTCCTTTTGTAGTGACGTGTCATGCCCAAGGCCCACTTACCTTTCTTAACAACCAAATATTACGTCTCAAACTCGTGTACGTTCTCTGAACGATGCTTAAGACTCAACTTACACACAAACGGACAGGGTGACACTAGTTCGTGAGGCCTACTTAATGTGCACAGGCGCTTACTCAAGCCTGGGTTTACACACGGGAGACTTGAGACCTTGTGTTTTGTTTCCCTTCCTGTCCTCCACGATCAGCTACGCGGTGACTGTGCAGGAGTCTTACGCGCACCCCTTCGACCAGGTGTACTACACCAGCTGCTCCGACATCCTCAACTGGTTCAAATGCACGCGGCACAGGTAAAGGCCACCGGCCGTGCAGCTCGCACGTGGCGCTTGGCACCAGCCGGCCTGGCGGGGCCATTCCCATTTTGCCACCAGAATGCGCAAGACCGGCCGTGTGTCCCCTGGTGCCACTGAGCCGGCGCGTGTCGTCCGCAGGATCAGCTACCGCACCGCGTACCGGCGCGGGGCTCGCACCATGTACCGCCGCAAATCCCAGTGCTGCCCCGGGTTCTACGAAAACGCCGATGCTTGCCTGCGTAAGTAGAACCTCGAAGTATGCCTCTTATTATATACACGTATTTTTATTTTTTTCTTCCCCCCCTGCTGGGACAAACAGAGCCACACCGGGGCCGTGCCAAGCCAGCCCGGTGCGGCTCGGGAGACGCCACCGCCGCTGACGTCACACGCAGTTAAACGAGTTTGAGACGCGTGCAGATGATGTCGTGACGCGGTGTAGTTTGTGACGTGGCACACAATCAATGATTGCGTCATTAGCCTCTCCTTGGCCCTGCTTGGCCCCGAGCCAAATTCAGATATCTTGTGAGGCCAGTGTATCACAGTTTAGTTCTGGCTCAGTTCAGCATATAGCCAGTAGCAAAACCCACCCGACCTGTGAGAGTCCACTATGCTCAGTGCAGATGTGCCATTTGAATTGGTTTATTTTCTTTTAAGCATGCGCAGTGAATGGTTACTGTCACTTGAATGCATGGTCTATTGACAATCGAGGGATTGGTTCTTCTCCACAGTTTGCCGAGGTAGACGAAACACGTTTGTTGATGTGCATGCGGGTGAAAGTTTGTGCCTGCGTGATATTTGAGTAACAGATGTGAAACCTGCATTGTGCATTGCACTGTTGATGGGAGGGAAACTACGGTTTGAAAATGCATTGCAGTCTCGTCTGGTCTATATATTTGCAAGTTTCTTTCATATCCACGGAAAACTCTGAACCCAATTAACTTGGCAAGTGAGAGGAATTGAGTGTCCATCTCTGAGTGGTTATTATGTTGTCCTTGTCAGGTCATTTAAGATGGTTTTTGAAAATTTTATGAATTGTTTCTGAGGCAGCAACGCAAAAAAAACGAGAATTGCTGAATATCTGCACAAGGGAAACTTGTCATGGCTCATTCAAAATGCATGTGGGTCATTTGGCACAGGTCTTAGTGTGGAACTTAAATACAAATGATCTCATTTTCAATCTTAAATAACATTTCATTATCATTCAGTCACATCATGGTTACCATATAGTCCATATTTACATCAGCTAAGTACTTCTGTACAGAAATAATAATTACAACGCATTCGGGAAAGATTACTGCAATATCTCAAATAATCTGCTTTTTTTGCCAGCTGCGTTATTGAAAAATGTTTACAGTTCACACATTATTTAGAAATCATTTTTTTAAGCTTGTTATTCCTGCTGATTTCAATTAAAGACGAATTGGAATTAAACATTATGTGTACGAACATTTAAAGTTAAAACCTAGGCCAATTAAAGCGTGTGTTATGCGCTAATGGCTCAACATTACGGCATTGCAATCTTTGTGCATTGTGTACAGTCGTCTCTCAGCCGCAATCCCATTCAATTTGCCGACTGGAATTCAATAAACGCAGTGAATGAGCTCCACTTTTTAATTGCAGCTCGTGTTTATCTCCTTTCATTCGCCATTCCAAGTATTTTGCATAAACGCCAGCACATAGTTGGAAACTTACACAGTCCAGGAGAACAAATGGCCCTTTCAACCATCCTCTCCTCCACCGTGTGCTTGTGCAGTTAGTACACCCATGTGAGAGAGTGTCCGAGAGAGTATATACATTTTTTTACGTGTTAATGTTTAATTTTAATCGTATTGACGACAATAATTTATGGTCACGGTCAATCTATCGCTTGATGAAGGCCCCCTCCCCTCGCTATATATGGGAGTTTGTTTTACGATATTTCACCATTCTGGTGAGGGCGGCTTGGGGAATGGAGGGCCTAGAACGGGTTCTGATATTGCTCGTCACTGACTTTAGCCGTGGCGGAGGATTCACGCTCAGGTCGTTGTGTTCACATATCGGTGCATGAACCACTGCTCCCCCCCCCCAACGTGCTTTTCCATTTTTAAATTGCAGAAGTTTTTTTCTTCTTGGTTCTTTCGGTAAAGAAGGGAAGTAATAAAATAATAAAAATAAAACATAATTATTTTTATTATAATTATTATAATTATTTTTATTATGTTTTATTTTTATTATTTAATTACTTCCCTTCTACGTGACTTTACCGAAAGAACCAAGAAGATGAATCCCTGCAGTCACGAAAGCTTTAAATCGAAAAATGCAGAAGTTTTGTTTTGGCTCAACTGCTTTTTGGCACGGTTGGCTACGTACGGTGCGAAAGAAGTTCAACATACATACATGCATAGCAAACTGAGCATGGGGCAGCTATAAATATAGTTCTCTGAGAGTAAATAGTTTTGTATGTATTATTTGCATGAAGTTGTAAGTGCTGGTGCAGTGGATTGCACACTGTGCTATGAATCCTGTGACCTGGGTGTTTGTTTTCCCGGTACCAGCTAATGTCAGTAGTGAGTGATGTCTGAATCAGTCCTTGGCCTCTACCCTTCAAAAATCCGCACTGACCAGAATGGTGAAGTATGGTCGAACAACCCCCATGACTATCACAGCATTGGGGATGTCATCAGGCCTTCAACCAGCAGTGACTTTACAATGGGATGCACATTTTTACAGGCACGAATCAAAGGGAGTTCTATAAAAACAGTTGCTTGGTAAAATTAATATACGTATTGAACTGAATAAGTAAAAAGTATACATTTGTAAGTTTCAAACTTTTTCAGTTCCATAGAAGGTTGAGTTTTAGCACACGGTTGATATATGATTTTGAGATTTCAAGCTGCCAAAATAACTTTGGCACTGCCAACGAGAAATGGAGAAACGATTAATCAAAAATAGCAATAGGCTGAGCTTTCAATAAAAGCTAAATTTACTAAAATGAAATGTATTATCGCTATCATAATTTCTCACACCTTCATGGGGGGAAAAAGGTTGAAGGGTGCAACAGACATTGGTGGGAATGGCCTGTGACTGATTGTGTCACAAAGTGTCCAGAATTTTGTCAAGACCCCACATTTTATGTTGGCTCTCGTTGGAAAAGTTTCAGAGATGCACCGCAAATGGCATTCGGTGTGTGCACATGCAATGTGTTGGCTTCCTCGCGCCTGAGCGAAATGTTCCTGACGACGAAACCTCATCAGACACATCACTCAAATAAAATAATCCACCTGACAATGGCAATGTGCTTTAGGACAGATTGACCCGCTTGCCGAGGAAGCCCGTTTAATTTTCGCTCTCACGCGTCCCACGGTACGTGACTGAGCGTACCCAGCCGTGTGAAGAACTCTGGCAGTTCACCTTCCAAGCAACGACGCAAGCATTACCAAGCATCCACATGGATGGATTAAATAAAAAAATGTCTTGCAAAGATATGATGATGGAACACTCTGTGGTCTGAATGAATGAATAGGCCCAATGGAAAACAGAGCAATGCCTATTATCCAAAGATACACCCTAATACCCCATGAATATTTACACTGCGCTGAGATTTATTGACTTAACATGGAAATGCTATTCTGTCGAAATATGCGGTGTGGAAAACAATCCTGATTAGTTTTTTTTGTAATATTGACATGTTTTTCACATTTGAAATGTCGACATTGAGACAAGGTGCAAACACCCGTTAAATTCAAACATTCGGTTGGTCTTAAGAAACCACTTTAATTTAAACTTCACTGCTAGATTAGTTTAATCAACTCTGGCATTATAAATCAAACTCAGTTTGTATTGATTTCCTGCAGGAGGGTATTCTTGTTTGATTATTTAATGTTTTGAGAGTTTTGTGCCCAAATATTTAAATTGGTTGGCACCAGATGAAGTCTAACAAGTCTTTAATTGCATCACGAGCACGTAGTGAATAAAGCCCTTAAAGTATGTTATTATAATTAGTATTATTGTATTACATGCATTTGAGTTACACTTCTTGTAATATCACTGCAATGACCCCATTAAAGCATGCAATATAAATATGAAGTAGCTAATATTACCAAAGGGATATCTGCAATAAAGCGAGACCAAAACAAAGAGCAAGCAACGGCATGGAACGCAACACGATGGGAATTAATTTCATTACATTGTAGCTCCATTGCTCCATAAAATATTGCTCTCTACATGGTGTAATTAAAGGCACCGGCTTTTCATTTTGTTTGGGTGTACATTAAAAAAAAGGTAAACTATTTATTTGCCGATGCCGCTGCATTTGCAGTGGTGCACAAGTGCGATTAACAAATAATGCAACGCATTCGTCAATAACACCGCCGTAAAAGGAACTATATATATTCGGTGACTTTTTTGCCTAAAACGTTGCCTATTATATTTATATCCTATGGTTCTTTCGGTAAAGTCACGTAGATAGAAATAATAACAATTAAATAATAAAAATAAAGGGAATAAAAATATCACGATGCAACACGATCGCAACACGAGCGCTCGTGTTGCGATCGAAACATCGTGATATTTGTATTCCCTTGATTTTTATTATTTAATTGTTATTTTTTCTATCTACGTGACTTCACCGAAAGAACCGTAGAATATTAATTCTTGCAGTCACGAAAGTTTTAAGTCAAAATATTCCATGTATTTTTCTCATTTTAAGGCTCACCCGATTGTTGACAAACCTGCTAAATTAAAGGTAAAGGTGCAGCTCTGCAATTGCTTACTCACACCACTGCTGGATGAAAGGGCCTTCGCTGAAGTGTATTTGTGCCTACTTTTCCACGTCGGCCACATGTACTGGAAGAGGTTGGTAATAGCCACACTTTACCCCACCACACGCCACCTGTCTATTGATCGACTGTGGTGTGTACCCATTTATACTGCTGGGCGGACAGTGGCAGCGGGAGAGGATTTCGGAGCCTTGCGCCGTTGTTTCAACTGCCACGCCGGGTGATGGAATCTGACCGGTGACCTCCGAAATTGCCAGTCCAGTGCGCCAAACCATTACACCACGGTAGCATTCCGGGGCGATGTACGTGTCTTGTTCGATAAAGCATTGCTCCTTATGAACCCTATTTAAGGCACATGTCAATGCATACACACGCCTGCACAGCAAAGGCGTGTTCAATACACAAAGGCACAGAGATTGGTGTTCAAACCAGAAAACCTTTGACTCGGTCCAAGGTCTCATTGAGCCCAGAACCTCCGGCACAACCTGCAGCCCACGGGTGTTCAGGAGAATTACTAGGTAATCAAGTATGGGCATTTTAGTTTTTGGAGCATAATACCACTTTCACGTTTGAATCGATTGTTTATAATGATCGCTTACTTGTATTTCTGCTCGGCTGACGCATTTTTTTTAGATATAGCATTTCATTATTATGCTGTAAATGGTGAATGCTAATCTCCCAGCATTTACAATTTTGCTTTGGGATTTGTAAGCAATCATGCGTTTCCTTCCCCATGCGTATGTTTACACCTGGGGGTGATAGTGTCATGCGCTGAGTTAATCAAGATGTTGGTGGTGTTTTTTAAGCAGAGTGCAAATATTTGTGGATAAGCATGATCACACTCTCCAGAATATGAAGGAAATATGAAATAGGATCTCTTTTTCTGATCGGTTTTGTCCAATTTTTACGCATTTATATTTGACTCAAATACAGCACATTCGGTCCCGTTTGAACATTTACCAGTTGCGAATCGCGACAGAAAACAAAAGGTTAGAACGCCTACAAAACATCGCTCGCTCCTCCTTGACAAGAGCCATCGGAAATCTATCGGGGCGACTGTATTTGCCAAAAAACAAGCGTGAATGAGCACCCGCAGGAACTTTTCTATAAACACATCGCAATACACTTAGCAAGCTTTGAACTTTGGCCAACGGTTCTTTTACTTAAATTAAAGGGTTTTACCGTGTGCTTGCAGAGTCCTAATTGGGATGGCTCTCGGAAATTAAACCGAATCGTTATTCACTCTTTCCCAGCCAGCTGCTATTGAATTCCAGTGCTGACAGCCAATTGAGGTTATTGGATCGGTGATCTGTTAAAGCTTATAGACCCCGGCAAATGCCATGCATCTAATGTGACAATGCAACGGCTGCTCGTCCTATGTTGCCGGTCCTAAAGCCTTGTGGTGTAGCTTTTAAATAAATAATATCATGAAACATTAAACTTTCGTAATGACTGTCACGCTACAGGCTTTAATAAGTAAAACAGCACATTTTTACTTTCAGCCAAATGCAGGGTAAGTGGCTGCTTAATGTTTCCCGAAAGGCCTTTGTTACAATTACGTACCATATAGTATTGTGCATAACATATTGTGGCTTTATATCTACTTGAACATTTTTGTTTACTACTTTTTTCTCAAATTAGATTTTCAAAGCGGGGAGCAGATGCTAGGGTGCTTTTGTTAGGTGTTCGTTAAATTGCTGGGTGCGTATATGTTGTGAAATAATTCGGTAATGATTATGATAATGAACAGGCAATTTGGTTGGGTAAACGATTGTAAATACAGGCATTGCTCTAGGGACATCAACCTGGAGAGCATCATCATATTTCAAAATGTGTAGGGGTTTTGGATCCCTTACGTGTGATTTAGTGAATTTAATTATCTTGCAGCTTCCTGGCATAGGTAATAACCCGGTGCATAAGGCAAACTCTGGCCTGGACAGATTCAGCCGACACTAAAATCCTACAATTCGTGATATTGCGTTCCTATTCAAATCATCACTGCGTTCCCCCCCACTCCCCACCCAAAAAATGCGTAGCATAATTGAACATAATCTCTCCATGTATTTCAAAGTCTAATTTTCCTCCCTGGTTTTCCTTTAGGCTCAAGTTTGTGGGTGCATTTCCTCAGTCCTAGTAAAAAATGTTCAGGTGCAAGGGGGTGAAAACCCCCATTTTATATTTAGTGCCATGAAAAAAAATTCCCAAAAGTATGCATTCTTAATGCTGCCTTTTAAAGGAATGATGGGCAGTGGGTCGAGAGAATGTGTAGGCATGAGAATGGACCAAAAGTGGAACATTTCTCGTCTCTCTGGGTTTTATGGGAAAACAACCGTTGTGTGTGTGCACTTCTTAGAAAATAGCGATAAACAAAACTCTAAGAGCCAATAAATACGTGCTTAAAATTGATGGTGAACAAAAATCCTCACCACAACAGAGCAGCTATCTTATGAAACAATTCCCAGACTGTGTTATTTATCTTAATTAATTTGTTAAGGGCATGGGCTGACAACTACACAGACATGGCCTCAAGGGTCGAAAGCAACACTTTGAATTCTTAAGGAAACCGTTTTTTGGCTTTTTCGTCTCGCGAGAGCTGACTGGATCATATTGACTTGTGGCCTGCCTGTGAGATTTGTGGTGACATTCCAATATGTTTAGCCCAAGATTGTTGACACACAATGCTGCTTTATGAAAAGTGGATGCTGCTGTGGTGTCGGTGAGCACCACCGTTCGACTTGCAAACCAGAGATCACCAGTTGAATTGGTTCTCCTGGAGTAGCAATTGAAATAATAGCAAATTTCTTAATTGTCACCCCCACCCAGCAGTATCAATGGGGGTATGCCACACTTAGTCGACTGGCAAAGTTGTGTTTGGTGGAGTATAGTGGGGGGGGGGGGGGGGGGGGTACTCCCATGTCTTCCGAGACATCTGGTCAGTGTGGAGATAAAGGCCATATGCCCTTTAAAGAAGATCTTTTTATAATTCCTTCTAAAGGGTGCACCTGTACATATTTATAAGTCACTCATAAATACGTTTATAAATGAGCAAAAGGAATATTGCAAACATTCATGAAATTTTATTATAAATGTGTTTTACCACTGACTAATGGTACTATGTCAATATAAAACAATACATAAAATATACATGCAATGTACTTTGAGATATAATGAATAAATTGCGCAATTAATTAATTCCACAATTAATTTATGATGTTAATAATAAGGTTCACTGCTTTGATATTCCTCATTTTAACATTTATTGAACAGATTTGTTGAAGAAACATGATGCTAACTTGCATTGCTCATCTGGCTGGCATTGGCTTCAATTGGATCTGATAAATCTTGTATGCGTAAGAAGAGCTTAAAAGAGCAAACTTACTCATGGTTAATATAGTCAATCAGACGTGGAAAAGTACATCAAATTAGATCTGAACCATTACAATTTGGTAGTTCGGCTGCAAATTGATTGGGAAAATGAAACAATATTAAAAAAATGTTGCGTTTAGAAAGTAATAAATGAGCTGATTGCTTCATGAATATCCAGAATGATAGGCTGAGTTTATATATTTTTTTAAACTACTCTATGAGTGTAATGATGCTGCCCCGATGGTTCTCAGTGACTTTTAGCCCAGGCATCAATTTTTTTCATTGCCTACTTTTGTACGTTCTGAAGCGCTGTGATTCTTAAACAGACAAAGTCCATGTCAGTGGTGTGTGCTTTAAGGATTGGCAAAGAGCTGCAGCTTTTTTTTTATATATTGCAGTGGCCTGTAGATGACCCAGCCAAAAATGGCAATAAAAAGGCATTTCTCACTAATAAAATTGCTTCTTCATAATGTGCTCAAAAGTCATCCGGCTGCGATGTGCCCCCTCTCAACATACGTCCCCTTTGTGCACACATCCGTGTACTCTTACGGGTACCCTGAGAGGATAAAGCAGCCTTGCCTTTGCTCATCTGCCATGCCCCCCGCGTTGCTTAATAATGTGCACGCTTGTAATCGGTCTGCGCTCACGTATGCCGTTTGTTTTCCGCAGCTGAATGCACATCCCAATGTGTCCATGGAAGATGCGTCGCTCCTGACACGTGTCAGTGTGAACCTGGCTGGGGTGGGACAGATTGCTCTAGCGGTGAGTGAGCAACGCATACACTCTATCTTAAGTTATAAATACACACGCACACAGATGCACACACATGCATGCATATACACACACCCATACACAAAGACGAAAATCTCCCAGAATATCCTTAACAGACTGTTGAGGAAAGTGATGTTAGAATATAATACAAATGAAATTATCCCAGCTTCGTTGAGCAATGTTGTTAGCAAACACATACTTTATTTGTGTTTAACCATGTGAGAATGTGAGTATAACATACAGTGGGGTGGTGGCACCAGCACTTTGCCTGACCACCTGTCAAGACAGGTACCGATTTTAGGCCTAGTTGATCAAGTAATATCTCAGGCCAGCTTCATATTGGACTTATCGAATTAATGTTAAATTTTAGATGTAAGGGTGTGCCTTCCGTGGCTCAGAGGTCAGAGTGGACCATGCTGAGATGTTTGCTTTCAAAATCAGGCAGCCACCCGTGATTAAAACTGAATCCTCAAGTGTAATGAGTTGAAGGTCTCAGGCCAAGTCATCAATGACTGCGCACAAAAAACCCTATCATATGAAATTTTGCTTCGAAGGAGGTGGCCGATAGCTCAGAAGTCAGAGTGCTGCGTTGACAATGCTGACAACCTGTATTTGAATCCAGGCAGCCACATGCGATTAAACTGCTTCTCAAGTCTAGTACATTAATGGTCTTAGGTCAGTAACCAAAACTGTAGAATAAACCATCATATTCAATTTGGCTTTGCCCTTACATTGGTTAAATGCCAGCTCTGAGCATTAATAACATGGGTTTGACTGCCATGGGATGGCAGGAATGATGCAAATTGATGCCCTGTACTGTGGGGAGGCCACTTAAAGAGATTCCAGAGGTAGTTTTGTGATATCTGCTTCTGTGGGCCATTCTCTGTCATGTGGGTTGCACTGCTCTGTGAGATTTCCAAATGGATTATTCACCTCCTGGCATGATGCTGACAGCACAAATTGTGAAAAAAGACCCAAAAAAAGTTGGAAGAATAAACGGTTATTTTTCTTGGTGTCTTTAAATAAGTAAAAAGTGTCATAACCCGATGGAAGAACGTTTCATCAAAAAATTCATTCGTAAAATATCATTGGTGCTTCTGAAGACTTTCATATGCAACACACTCTTGTAAGAGCTAGACATGTCATAGCATCTTAGATTGTCATAAACACATATTTGCATCCACCGTAGTTTGTGCCTATGTAGGTGTAGATGAAGGAGAATTAAAGACAAGCCACAGTGCAATTATGGCCACGCAACCCAAACTTTGGACTTGTAGTCTGTGTTCCTTCAACTGAGGAAAAGCAAAACTACATGAGCTCTCTCCTGACGCCCTCTCATGGCAAGCAGACCTCGACATTGGCCTTTAGCTCCGAAACATATTTCCATACCCAAGAATAGAATGAATCAAAACAGATCGCATCTTCCTATGGTGATAGCCACTGTCTGCAGAGAGAAGGCAACTCAACGATACGAGCGTGCTGTCAGTAGATGCGCCCCGTCAACACGTGACCTCACCGTGACCATCCCCATCTTTCTTTCAAAAGCCATTAAGCAGAGTGGGATCATATTTTTTACCACGATTTGAATTTAGTTTCTTTCTTAATTTTATGATAAAATGTGTGTTTTCACTCTGGCCATCCAACTCGCTGATATGCCTTGTTTCTTTGTCAACTCCGTTGGAATGTTTCGGTGTGGAGCAGCACTTTCCAATGGCAATTTCAATTAAAAATGCTTTGCGTGCTTCATAGTCACTCGATGACAGGATACTGTTTTATGAGGATCTACCAGGAAGGGTAAAGAACTTCTGACACCAACAAGGAATTTAAGAAACCACATCGATCGTTTAACAGCTTGTGGTTCAAGGCTTGGCCTGCATCTCTCCACATCCAGCAGTCCGCCTCCTATGAACAATCATCTCAGGATTGCCTGTTTGTGGCTCACGGCAAGGCGTGAAGATGGCGTTCTTCAAGGCAGCCCGATCAAGCCTCCTTCTCCTCAGACAAGCAGTAGAAACATGGCTAATGGTGTTTGGGAGTTTTTTTGCCCACACCCTTCCTTCTGTTCAAATGATAAACCATCAAGGCTCACGACGCTTCAAGGCCCTCATGCAAGAGGCCTGGGAGTTACTGTCTAGGGCTGAGAACAGTGGGATCTCTGTCAGAGCATCCATCTTGTGGTAGTCGACAACACCGCGGCTGATCACCTCATCAAACATGGATAGACCGAGTAGACCGAGTGGGCGAGTGGACACATGACCTGTCCGTGTTCCAGGGTATCAACGTGCACTTTGGTCTCCTCTCCATCGATTTGTGCACATCAGACCACGAGCACTAACAGACAAGGTTCTGCTCGTGGACGAGGACTCCAAGAGCTCTGCAAGTGACGACTTCTCCTTTTGCTTTAGAGTTTCTCCTCAAAACCGTCTTTTTCTTCAATCCCCAGGCCTTCATATTCAGAGTTTCTTCGTCATTCTCATTCCCTTACTTGGTCCATCCCACACTTTCTACGTGTCTCTGTGTTCTGTGACGTTTGTTGCAATTTGGGTGCGTCACAACTGCTAGTTGTTGTAGTTGCATTGGATAGAGGGGGTATTTGGCTGCTATAAATTTCCACGTGAATAGCCATTTCGTTGAGCTATCATTTGTGGCCAGGTCACTTCTGAAAAAGAGCTAAACAGCTCAGTGGGCCTTACCTGCTAAAATACAAATTTCGTTGACAGTTTAGTTTCGAGTGTTATGCACACCACACCCAGCATTATTCGCAGCTTGCGGTGCGAGATTCTATAGGACAGTGCTCTGCTGTTGTTGATTGCTCCCAACTGTGCAAGGAGCTCCTGGTTCTCCAATCCACCAGAGATCTTCATCCACCCTTCTTGCCCGTTGCTGCAGTGGAACGATCCGCTTAACCAAGGAGGTCAGCTCCATCCAGATGTCAAGAGTGTTTCACTTGGCTGCCTCGAGATTGAGAGGAGGAAGTTCAATAATCCAGGTCTTTTAGAGCAGGTGCAGTCCCTCCTGCTCCATTCCAGAGAGCAGTTCGCGACAGGTGTCTACAGGAATCATTGGAGAGCATTCTGCCAATGGTGCATCAAGAAGGCTGCAAAACCCAATTACATGTGGCCTGCCGATAGTGGCTTAGCATCTACAGGAAGAGATCCACTGGGGCAAGCCAATTGCATCAATCAGGGTGTGTATCTCTACGTTATAGGCATATAATGCCCCTATTGAGTGTGCTTTAGTGCGACAGTCTCCCATCCTTGCCAGATTGCTGTGGGTCACATCATTGGACAGGTCTCCAAGGAAGACTTTGCTTGTGCTCTGAGATCTGCAGTTAGTGGTTCATGCTCTCACGAAGCTGCCATTTGAGCCATTGGCTACTGTGACGGAGAATATCTGAACTCTCAAGGTAGCATTCTTGCTCGTCACCACATAATATGAGAAATTCAAGCATTTGTTTGGTGAATGGCCTCTCATAATATCCCAACCAGAGAAGGTGGCTCTCTGTTCCTTGCTGAGGTCCCTTCGCAAAGCTGTTCCCATTCCACCTGAGGCAGGGGTTGCACTTTCCATGATTCTCTCACAAAAAACTTCATGACTGAGAGGTAAAGGCTCCACCATATCCTGGATGGGCGGAAGTTTCTACCTTCAGGGAAATTAATCTTTCAAATGAAGCAAATTATTTGGCCATCCTGCTTTAGCAGAGGTGCGCGAGCACAATTAACAAAAACAAATACTTTTTTAAACAATATTTTCATTTTACCAGGTAAGGCCCACTGATCTATGTCGCTCTTTTTCAGAAACGACCTGGCCACAAATGATAACACAACGAAGTGGCTTATGTCAAAATGTATTGCAGCCAAATACTCTAAACGCATGTTTCTAAATGTAAAGGGAAAAACCAGAGGACCCGTATAAAAATCCACGTGACCACGAGGAGAATATGCAAACTCCAAATATACAGCAGGTGTCGGGGTCGAACCCACGACCTCATGTATACCATGTGAGGGAGTTAACATCTCACCACATTCATCAATAACATTGTGGCCTTAAAATATATATGTGGAATTGCCAATATATCAGTCAATGACCCTTCTTCATAGCACATGGTATGCCAATTTTTACTTATATATATTTATGTTAAGGAAAAGTTGTCGATGAGTTTGTTGAATCTTGAGAGACGAGGGAGCAACGCAGATTGGATTAGCTTCATGAGTAAAGGAGCATCAGGTTCTCCAGGCTTTATATCCGGGCTCGAGTCAACTTGTAGTTAAGTCATTTAATCGCGTTACAGCAAAACGGCTGTTACCTACTTTAGGGACACTCAACGCACGCATTGTTAATTTCTTCTTTCCAGTAAGTAAATTGTGTTGAGTGCCCAGACACCCCTGACAGTTTTAGGTATGGCTAAGAGATGCGTACAATTCTGTACAAATATCATGGTATTTTTTGAGTCCACATTTTTCTCCTTTCACAAAGGTGGCATAAACGCTGATAATGCTGACGGAATCTTTAGCTACACAGCCGCGCAAAAACAGTTGGCTCAGGACCGAGTCGGTAGCCAGTATCTGCGTGGATTGAATATAAGTTATAGTACAGTAGACCTGCTAAGTGGGGGAGAGCGCCAACTTCACGGACCCTATCTGTCATCGAACCAATAACCACTGGGACCCATTTTATGGAAGGACAACTCCAACTTTTAAAATGTGGCTGCTCCCCTGCTCTTCTGGCAGAGTTTCTGCTTTGTGTGTGGCCTCTCTACCCGGTCTCTGCAGACAGCGTCTCGCACCGCGGGCAGACGCTACCTGCTTGGATTACACTGGTCAACACACGTTTTCTGGCATAAGGTATTCAAACGGTTTTAAGGTAATTTTGGGGTGCTGATTCCAAATCTGGCATCGGTTTTTGTCTATCACACCAGGTTTTTGAGATATCAATTATTGCATTTTCAATAAAAACTGCAGAAGAAAAATATTAAATAAATGTGGATATCT